GTTTCAGTCACTTGACCTTAAGCACTTGCAGGCTACCAGGCTGCACCATAGTCAGCTTCCTCACTGGGTGCTACAAGTGCAGCTTCTGTCACTCCATTCCAGACATGGCAGAAACTGGCATGCCTCAACCCCTCTCTTATCACTGCTCCAGGGGCAGAAACTTCCAGCAGCAAGAATTAACAAAAAGCTAGAGCTGTAATGTTGGCCAACACCACACCTAACTAAGCCCCTTGAAGCACATTTTCAGATGGACTCTCCAAATTTCAAAGAATCTCATTATCCCATCATTTTCCCCCAAGAATAAATCATTTCAAGAAAATATAAAAACAGACGTAAGAGCAGATGCAGTGTAAGCCTTATGACTGCTGCCCTTGATTTAAGAGGAGCAGAAATCCCAGCGGAATTCTTTCCAGCAGGCAGGCATTTAATGGATCTTGTGAAAGTGTGAGCATATGAGGAGACAAAAAAAAAAAAAAAAAAAAGGCAAAATCAAATCTCTAGTAATCAGCTAGTCTGAAGCATAGAAAAACTGTACCATCCATCTCGAAGAGGGTAAAAAGTGATGTTAGAACAAGATGGCTGTGCTTTCCTAAGCACAAAAATCTTAACAAGTCACATCAGTTCTTGGCCCCAACCACAAAGATCTTAAGTCGTGGGTATTAACTTTGAAAGTAGCATGACTAGCTTTGGCCTTTTCAGCATTAATTCAGCATAGAATCATAGAATAGCTCAGGTTGGAAATGACCTTAAAGATCATAGAGTACAACCACAACCTAACCATACTACCCTAACTAACAACCCTCCGCTAAATCATGTTTTTGAGCACCACATCCAAATGGTTTTTAAGCACATCCAGGGATGGTGACTCAACCACCTCCCTGGGGAGCCTATTCCAGTGCTTAACAACCCTTTCTGTAAAGAAGTGTTTTCTGATATCCAACCTAAACTTACCCTGGTACAACTTAAGGCCATTTTCCTCATCCTGTCACCTGTTGCCCGTGAGAAGAGACCAGCCCCGCTCTTGCTGTAAGCTCCTTTCAGATAACGGAAGAGAGCAATAAGGTCTCCCCTCAGCCTCCTTTTCCCCAGACTTAACAGCCCCAATTCCTTCAGTTACTGCATGTACTTCCCATCTTAAGGTGGGAGAGAGAATTACAGAATAGAATAAGCTTGTCCTAATAGCTTCAATTTCACCCAAATCTCAGTTCTATGAGCATAGGAACATTCAGTAAATGTTTCTTATTGACTGGAAACAACTTGTCCTTCCTTTTCCTTTAGGTAGTTCCCTGTTCAGCATCTTGTTTATATTCTTGCTCTCCAGAAGCTACCAGAGCTGCCCAGTTCTCCTCACAGACTAGGCAGAGGGACTGAGATGGGATTTAAGTATCTGACTGTCCAAGTATCCTGCTAATATGGGACAAGTTGGCTCAGCTATGCTCAGCGTAGCCATCATGCATCCTTGATGCAGCCAAGGAGCTGTGTCTGTGCCTACAGGCTTCTGGCAAACCCTTGGGAGTGCAGTGTATACATCATACACCCTCTCCCTAGGCAGTTCCCGTTGAATATGCCAGGCCATTCAAAATGTTTCTTGTTCCCAGAACAGAAACATTTGACCTGATGAAGACAAATGAACTTTTGGCATGTTCTCACTTCAATCCTCCCAACCCGCACTTTGTTTTCTTATTCTTTACTATTGGTGGAGACATTTTAACAATCCACAGAAAAGGACTGGGTGCATTTCATTAGATAAAAGCATTTCTGAATCTACACTGCAAACAGAAAAATGACTCGGTGCTCAGCATTACCTCCTAAAACCCAACTACACAACACGCTGCACCCAAGAAGCAAGATGGTCTTAGTCACATTGCATATTTCTGTCACCTATATGAGATATGGTAATAAGTAATCAGATGTCTTTTGTCTTATTTTCCCATTGCCTTAGCACACAAACAAAATCTAGAAAGGTAAAATATAATTTAACCAGCCTACGCATATTTCAACAATATTAAGGAGACAACTTTTCCTCTAGCACTCCAGACAACTCTGAGACTCTCTGAAACTGCCTACATGTGTTAGCTTTCCAGCCATCATCTAACACAGGATAGCAGATTTTCTCCACAACTCTTCTGAAGAACACTTCTGATTAGGTTCGGGGATTTTGGTCAAGCTAGATGTTAACCCAGTTTCTACCATCAAAGCAGCATGGAGCAATTTCAAGACAACACAAACCATTTCACGTGGACATGAAGCTCATTCAAACAGTAGAGTACTGGAGCTAAGGTGAATTGCACGAAACACCTCTTAACAACAGTCCAAATTGGTCTCCCCTAGAAAAGAGATCTTGAAACATCTATTTAGCAGTGCCTGCAGTTCCCTTGGCTTGGATATGTTCCTGTTTCCCACCTACCCTTTCATGCAGCCTTGACAGTGTTACAAGGAAAGTTCTATAATCAGTTGTGTGAGGATCTCATCTCAAGGAATAAACATCCTAATATGCGTGTGGGACTGAGGCTGCAGGGGAAAAAATTATATATATGACAAGGTTACTCCCACTTTCCATGCCTCTTAGAGTCAGGGATTGCCATCAAAGCTTGTAAAACATTTTTTAAACAACACATTAAAATCCTTGCAGGGAAAAAAAAAAAAAAAAAAAAAGGAAGTCTTGGAAGTTGAATTGCTGGGTTTGTGAGCATTCTATTAGAAACTCAGAAATTGCACTGTTTTCAAGTTTTGATTTTTGCAATAGGGAAAAAAAGTGCTCTCTTTCAGAGGATGTAAGTGCACTGAAAACAAAGAAATGTGTTTCTTATAGGGAAAAAAAAATACAAAAAAAAAAAATACATACAGCACAATTTTCAGGAGTGCAAGACCATCTGAGAGGAAACATCAAAGCTTTATACACTTTTTTGCTAAGCTCATCTAGCCCATCTGACTGTTGCTCCTTTCACCTACAGCCAAATAAGCTATTCTTACATTAATGCTAGTAAGAGCATACTTGCACTAGGCCAGACTCAGCATCTTGACTCAGACTAACGCTCTTATATGGACGTTAAGGACATTGCTAAAGAAACACAGACTCTATTGTTAATCATTTCTTTTAGCAAATTTCCTTCACAGCCTGAGCTAAGCACTATATTAAATTGTGAAGAAATAACTAGAACTACTATGCTGCAAGTGACTTTTAAATCAAGTGCATCAGTTATACAGTATTTAGCACTGTGCTGTAAAGGGTGGTAAACGGAGGTGTCATAAATATCTGACTTTATCATCTGTTGACTCATAATCCAGATGCCAATGGGATATAAATCATGTAAAGCATGTTTCCAGATTAGGAAAGTCTGACTGCTCACTATTGTTCTAGCAAACTACATTATTTCTTTGTAGGATCAGGAGTGCCCTCTGATGGTTAATAACTATTATTGAGAGAGAAGAGCTGAATATGGAAAGTAGCCCATCCTAAATTGTATATTCAATACAAAATGTTCTCAGTTCCTGCACTAGACATTTTCAGTCTTCCGTATACTTAAAAATGTCATTAGCTACTCTTGATTTATCGGAAATATTTTTTGTAGATTTCTCTTTCCATTGCAGTTTATTTACATTGATGTTAAAGGGTATACACACACACATATTAAAGATGCATTAGAGAGCTATGTACACACAGCTTCAAAGGAAACGAGTTGCAAAAAGTTTCAGACACAAATCACAGGATTTCACTAGTAGACATTGAGAAAGGCTCTGACAAACTCAGACACCTGGAAATTCAGATTTTCAACTAAATGTCAGAAAACAGGACACAACTGGAAAAAAAAAAGAAAAACAAACAAACAAAAAAACCAGACAAGCTCTCTGAAGAAGCACGTGTCCAACTGCTTGTCTGTATTTTTCCAGCTATATAAACTAGCCTAATAAAACTTAAACTCTCAACAAACCCTGCTTCACATGTACTTAGAACATTACATGTAGTACAGAACTGTAAGAAAATAAGTAATCAGTGACATTTTCCCTTTTCATCTTTGACTTTACCTGTCCTTAAGATAGTCAGCATCCCTGTCACTTACCATTTTATCAATCCTGATATCAACTGGTCTTTTGAGACAGAGGTAGTAGCTAGAAGACAGCCACATACTTGGAGCTTTCTGTGATGACAACCACTGTGTAAACTGTCTCTCCCTTCAATTGAACAAGTAGCAGGACTGGAGCTGATACCTCTAGTGAGACAAAACCTCCTCAAATCTGCATAAACCACACACCTTCCCTACTATACACTGGCAAAAGAAATGTGAATATGCAATATCTAAACCCTTGCAAGACTTATAAATTGCATATTAGAGTTTAATTCTAGTCTGACTACCTGAAGAGTCTTAAAATAGCCAGGAATTATAGAGAGAAATGTGCATAACAAGTTGTAACTGGAAACACTCACAGATTTTAAAGCAAAATCAATTCCTCAATCTTGCAAAGAAGGATGGCATCAAGGGAGCAAGCAGTTGGGTGCATCCTCCCTGCTTCCTTTTACCTCTGCTGATGCACACAGGCAGCAGCCATTGTGCTCAGAGGTCTGCTGGGCTGTTAGCAGAGCTCTGCTCTCTCAGGGCTACTTTATCTTTTTCTTTTTTTTTATTTGAAGCAAATGTCATTTTTAGATTTTCCCTCTGACAATGAAAGCTGAAAATAACAGCTTTGGATGAAAAACACCAGCAGCAAGCCATCTCCATGCCTGGTTTTACTCTGGTTTCAGACCTACTGCAGAACCCCAGGCATTTAGAAACAGGACAATGCTTGGGAGTTGCTATTTGTGTGTCCCCTCTTCCACCTGAAATTGCCATCAGCTGAGGCTCAGCTGGGAATACCGGGCTGAGACTTCAATTACTGTCTCATTTGCCCATTGCCGTAGCATGAGAACAAATTCTAGAAAAGTAAGATACAATTTAATAATCCTATGCATATTACAACGGTATTAAAGAGACAAGCTGCACTCAAGCAGCTCTAAGACTCACTCGAGCTGCCTGGGCAGAAGAGCCGGAGCCCCCTCTGGTGGAGACCGAGGGAAAGACGCTCCGGCGGGCGCAGCGGCCTCCTGGCGCAGCGTTTGTCCAGGATCTGGTCTACAGCGGTGGAGGAGGACGGGAAGCTCCACGGAGGCTGTGGGGCAATGTCAGTGCTTGCGGCACCTCAGACCGATGTACACCGGCAGCGCGTTGGTCACTGAACAACTGGGGCCCGCTGTTGCCCGGTGCTACGGAGCCGTTAGGATAAGGCGGGAAAACATCCTCTGTGGGAGCTGCCACCAGCGCCATTTTGAAGATGCTGAGTTGCTGTGCTGTGTTGGGGCTTTTATGGCTGGCAGCTCCCAGGATTTGCCTCAAGTCCATATGAGTTCGCACCCTACCTTGTGACCTAAACGCTTCTCCACTTTCTTTTCAAAACCTGTCTTGTCTCAGTCCTGATCAAGGTGTTTGCCCCTGCTGTTGTCTGGGCACTTGGTCATACCATCCTAATGCAAAACAAGTCTTGCTCTAAAACCAGTCAAAGAGCCAACACTGTAAAAATATTTGTGAACCAATGATCTGAATAGAAAGAAAGCTAGGTGGATTGAAAAAAAGTAAAAGCACTTTTTTTTTTTTTTTTTTTCACCTTAACACTTTTCCACCCACTCCAACGTAAATTAACTAAAATTCCAAATAAGCATGCATTTCCAAATTTAATAATAATAATAGTTAATAATAAAAACGTGAAGCAAGCTATTTCAGGAACTTAGCATGTTCTCAAGATGCTTTTCAGCCAGGAGATTAATGGGAATGGATCTCTTTAAGGTGGCTTCTGTTCCAAAGATAGCATTGTCTAGTGGAATAACTATAATATGTCACTAACACTATTTGACTTCATAAGTACCAGGAGGTCCCAGCTTTCTTCCAGGGTCCCAGTGCTTCTAGTATCTACAGCTATCGGTTGGTAATACCTATTATTACGTACTGTTCTGGCTGTAACAAGCAGAATAAGCACGCAGCTGCTTAATAATAAATGTTTCCAAAACAGGAGATAGGAAATGAATGAGCTAAGGGGAAATATCGGTAACTTTCTGTGAAGAGCCTTCTGGCCATTATGCTAGGTTGTATGAGAGCAGTTCAGACACAGCAGCTGGTTTATGAGAGTGCAACATGGCAAAAGAACACAGGTCGTCTGTGTCCTTCTTGTGTGCACAGCCTTTGGGAATCAGTAAGTGCTTGTAGTACGGGCAGCATCAGAAAGAAAATACCGAAGCTAGAGCCCAGGGAAGAAAGTTGCAGATTTTTCAAGTTGTACTACAACAAAATCTTAGTATTTTGAAGTTATCCTGGATTTCTATAGAATAAAATACTTCCTCTTGTCGCTACATAGCATGGGAAGTGCAAAAATTATGCCACTTAACAATTTCAAGGGATCTGGGAATTACCAGCCGGGCAGTAATTACTATGTGAAGAGAAACAACTCCTGTATGAACATATGGTGTAACTTTTTAATCCGAAGTTTGACTGGACTTAATGTTTATAGGTGAGGCCATGCAGATCCCACAGTCCCCATCTTTGCCATAAATAACATCAGAAGTGCAGTATTTTACTTTTGTTTTGCTTTTCATTTCACCAATGGAATATTTGACTTTGCTGACAATTCAGGTCAAACAGGAATCAAACACATAAGATATAAAAAATGTTGAATTAAACAGCCAACAGCCATGGAGCAAAAGGTGCTTTGTGCCTTTAGCCTAGGGCTCTGGGCTCAATAAACTTTAATTTGTCAATAGTTCATCAGTGTTACGAAGGACAGTCAGTAATAAAAGAGTACAAAAATAACGGTCTTGCTGCTTTATGGACAAATCAACCTAGCCAATCCAACACCTTGAATGAGGGGAGACTGACATGCAAACCACGGTCTACACATCTTTACCCTTCAGGCATACTGAGGTGATGGCAAGATCAAAGAGGCTTTTGAAATGCCAAGTTCTGAGAAAGGAAATTGGGAAATATAACTCCAGAGTTAGCTGGGGAGGGGGCAGGGATGAGGGTCATGTTAGAAGGTGTTAACCACTGTAGAAAAAGAGACTCTTATCCCAGATGGTGCAGACATTTCACTGTTGAAATATAACTGTGACCAGCCTATCTTATAAGGTAATGAAATCTGTCACAACTTGAACATCAAAAGTGGTCACAGGCTATAAAGGAACGGTGTTTGTGGGAGCAGTAGGGACGAGAATTGTCAGACACTCGAGGCTGTGTCTTTGAGACGCTGTAGTCAAGAGGATCAGAAAGGGGAGGAAGGAAGAGATTGTCTTGCTGACAGCTGCCCGAGGATAGGAGCAGAGGACAAGTAAGATATTGCTTCCTTTGTAATGAATCCAAGATGTACCTCCCTGGCCTGACATTTGCTGAGTAAACTGAGTTAGTTATTCAGACAAGTCCTTTTGGTCCACTCCAGCTTTCCTATACATTCTTAGTACATTCTGTTTTAATTAGACCAGTTGAGTCTTTGATTGTTTGCAAATTTCATGCAGACTTTTCCTTAGCGGTGCTTCTAAGAAAGAGGAGCTACAGGAAGATGCCTGGAGCCTGTCATAGTTGGGATGTTTGGTCAGAGGGGCACGGACTATGGAGACCTTTCTCACAAGAGATGGCACCTGCAGAACTGAAGTCTGGCAAACACTTAGTTAGGAAACACCTAGATCATCAGCTGTTTTTCCACTTCTTTATCTTCTAATTTTTTTATAAGATTTGAGCATAATGGAAGCAAATCAGAAAGAGGGATGTCCATCAGATTTCATGAAAGCCAGTACAGCTAAGTAGGAATAATTTGTGCCAAGCCTGCATTTATGTTGGAAAGTACTGGACACACGCAGTAGTGGGAGGAAAATAGAGAGGGAGACTGGAAAATGCAAGTAACAATACAAAGTCACGGCCAGCAGAGTGCAGCATCACGCCAGATGGGTGGTGTGTGGATGCAACGATGGTGAACTGTATTCCCACTGATTAAATAGTAGCTATCAGGTGTAAACAAGCAAATCTCCCAGGAAAAGAATACCTTTCCATGTATGCGTTTTGAATAATACTTAGATACTCCTAAGTGATAAACTATTTTTCAACATCAATGTTTTGAGCGTTACTTTAAGAAAGTAGGAGAAAGAATATGGGATTTACTGAGCAAGGGAAAGGGAAGTGGAAGTAAGAGACTGGAAGATCCAAGCCAGATGTGGTAGATTGACTGGTAGCCTGGTGATAAGAAATCAAATGGACTATTGATATTGAAATCAAATGAACTCTCAGGACTGACAGGACAGAAAATGAAATAAGCAGTAGTACAAATAAAGAGAATGGGATTAGTACCTGGAGCCAGATGGGGGAAAAAAAAAAAAGAAACATGCTGGAAGAGATGATACAGGAGGGATCTAACAAGGAAGGATCAAGGAAAAGGTGTGCTGTTAACCAGTAAAGACCATCTCTCTACAGGCTCTAAGATGTGCATGTGACACTGAGCTGCTTCCTGCAAGTCTCTGTGAAACCCTATGTCTGACCTCATACTATATTGCACTACAAAGGCAGAAAACATGCCATTGCTGTCATTTTAGTAGAAAACAGCAGGAAGAGGTCTACAGTACGGATTTAGTGGTTCCAAACCAACTGTCCCGCCGTGGAGATAATGGTATGTTACCTCAAAATAGAACTTCTGACTTTGTTTTGTTTTAATTTGTTTTTTAAAAGCCCTACAAAATTACAGGCAATTTTTTTTTTTAATCTCTCTTTTTTTTTTAAGGTCTCTCTTTTTATTTTTTTTTTAAGGTCTCTGAATCAAATTTAGGTAAATCAGCAGGATTTAAGATTGTTTTTACCCAGTCCTGTGTATTAATGATGGTCATCTACTATTTCTCCACTTGAATTGTTTCATTCTCTCTATGGGAAAAAAAAAAAGTTTTAGGATTGATCAGCTTTATACAGTGATGGAAAGTGTTTTCTCTCCCCCAGACTTCATTTGTTTCCTCCCTCAGATCTCTTTTAATGCAGAAGTATAAGTTATATAGAGGCATGAGGTATGGGTTTATTATGGTAAAAGCTAAAAGTCAAACTTTGAAGAACAATACTTTACTTCAGCACTCTGCACCTCTGTAGGTTCACTATGATGTTTGGAAATTTACTTTTGAAACACTTGCTAGTCACTGCTCACTTTTGTTTTCTACGTGGTGATCATATCCTCTTCATACTTGACTTGAGGAACTATGATCTGCAGTGTGTAGGACTACCAAAGGCTGAAATTGAAGTATCGTGTTTGAGAAAAGAACTGCCCACCCAAGCACTCAGAATGCTGAGAATGGGGAAGGTGACATTTCTGATCTTAACTTCTATATGTCATAAATCACTGATTTATAAAACAGTGATGAGATCACTACTTTTCCTTGAAGGGTTGTTCTAGAAATTAAATAACATTTTGGTAATACTCAAGTACAGTAGAGAAGAATACCATCGTCCATCATGCACAGTACATGGATCTAAAGTCCAAAAGAGAAGGGCATTTTATAATCTTATAATTAAAACTCTATTGTAATACGTCAGCATACAAAAACAAATTAGCATTACATGACCACTATTGGCTTCGAGTTATTCTTTCTTTTAGGTATACCTTACGTCTATCTTCTTCATCTTAATTTTATATTTCATTATGTTGTGTGTTCACAGAATCGTAGGGGTTGGAAGGGACCTCCAGAGATCATTGAGTCCAACCCGCCTGCCAAGGCAGGTTCCCTACACCAGGTCACACAAGTAGGTGTCCAGGTGGGTCTTGAATATCTCCAGAGAAGGAGACTCCACAACTTCCCTGGTTAGCCTGTTCCAGTGCTTCATCACCCTCACGGTAAAGAAGTTCTTGCGCACATTTGTGCGTAACTTCCTATGCTCCAGTTTCTGGCCGTTTCCCCTTGTCCTGTCTCCAAACACTGCTGAAAACAGTCTGGCCTCACCACTCTGCCCCCCACACCTTAGATATTTATAGACCTGGATCAGGTCCCCTCTCTGTCTTCTTTTCTCAAGGCTAAACAGACCCAATCCACTTAGCCTTTCTTCATAGGGGAGATGCTCCAGGCCCTTCACCATCTTTGTGGCCCTCCGCTGAACTCTTTTGAAGAGATCCTTGTCTTTTTTGTATTGGGAAGCCCAGAACTGGACACAGTACTCCAGATGAGATCTTACAAGGGCAGAGTAGAGGGGGAGGATCACCTCCTTCGACCTGCTGGCCATGCTCTTTTTAATGCACCCCAGAGTGCCATTGGCCTTTTTGGCCACAAGGGCACACTGCTGGCTCATGGCCAACTTGTCGTCCACCAGGACACCCAGGTCCCTCTCCGCAGAGCTCCTCTCCAGCAGGTCATCCCTCAACCTGTACCAGTGCGTGCAATTATTCCTCCCCAGATGGAAGACTCTACACTTGCTTTTGTTAAACCTCATCTGGTTCCTTACTGCCCAGCTCTCCAGCCTGTCCAGGTCTCGCTGAATGGCAGCACAACCTTCAGGTGTATCAGCCAATCCTCCCAACCTCGTATCATCAGCAAACTTGCTGAGGGTGGCCACTATCCCCTCATCAAGATCGTTGATGAAGATGACAAGACTGGACAAGACAAGACTGGACCCAGCACCGACCCCTGAGGAACACCGCTAGTTACAGGTCTCCAACCAGACTCTGCACCTCCAGCGACGACCCTGTGCGCTCTGCCAGTTAGCCAGTTTTCAACCCACCTCTCAGTCCATTCATCTATCTCACACTTCCATCCTTTGTTATAAGGATGTCATGAGAGACAGTATCAAATGCCTTGCTGAAATCAAGGTAGACTACATCCTCTGCTCTCCCCCCATCCACCCAGCCAGTGACAACATCACAGAAGGCTACCAGGTTGGTCAAGCATGACCTCCTCCTGGTGAACCCATGCTGACTACTCCTGATAACCTCCTTTTCATCCAGATTTACGTGTTACATGCTTATAAGATTGTTTATATATTTATATCCTCTGTACAAATGGGATTTATTTGGCCTAACATCAGTCATTTAGACTTGCTCCAATCAGTAGATATTTTATTCTACAGTAGGTGCCTGTGAGAGTCAGGATGCCTCTCTTCACACTGACTACTGTGAGGCCCACTCTTGGTAGCTGTCTCATCATGGGGAATATTTTTAAGAACTAGAGATTATACATCATAGCTTAAAAAAATAGGATGATATTTCACATTACTAGTAACAACCAGCTTACTTTATTAATGGTAGGTACAAAATACTCAGCTACTTAGGTTAACAGGTCAGGCAAGAGGAGAACAAACTGATCAGTGGATTAAATTTCCAGACTGTAATTTCTCTCCAAATAATGATTGCACAGGTAAACTCCAAGTTTGATCTCAAAACTTCTGTTTTGTTTTAGATTTATACCTTATCTTATAGAGATCCTTCGTTGGATTGGAGTGTAGAAGGTAGAAAGTTGCTCATTACGGTCTAACAAGCAATGGAAATTTGCCAAATTGGGAAAAACAGCTAGAGATCAGCCGAAAGTCTTTGTGATGAAGATAATGATGGAAAAATGGGGAGAAAGTAAGTGGTTGTATGACCACCTTAGATGCAACTGCGCATGCACAGAGGGATATTAGCATATATTAACGAGTTCTTGGGAAATAATGAATATATATGGCAATGTACTGCATAGGTATGTCTTAACTGTTTAAAGGTGGAACTTGAACTCTGAGAGCATGCACTTGAACTGTCAAATGGCCCAGTATATATTGTAAGTAATAAATGTCACTTTCTAACACCACATTGGAGTCAGAAAGTTTTCTTTCTGGGTTTTGGATGACAGTTTTCAGGACACTGACAGTTTTCTGAACCCCTCTGAGACAGCTCATTGTTTCCGGGGTCTTCCTCTTGGATGAGAAGTGGCTGGCCTTCATTTAGAGTCCTACAAACATACAGCTGAAAGGATAACAGTGAAAGCTCAGTTCCACATTAAGGTCAAGAAGAGAAGTCTGCTTATTGCTTAACACGTCTCAGTGGGGGAATACCAGGAAACACTGTTCTGAGCAGCTCACTCAGCTGATTGCTCAGCCAAGACAGCCTTGTGAGCCATAAGAAGGTGCATGGGTGCATACCTAGCCAGCTGCCAGTGTCTCTGACAGCTCTTAGTCACCTCAAAGCCAGTCCCCGAATGCAGGGTTCATTGGCCTCTGTGCACAGAGTCCCTCTAAAACCAGTACAGCCAAGTGGCTCCTTGGCTCTCCTTATCTTTATTTTGGATATTCTGAAACCAAATGTGTTGCAGTGTCTGGTGCTAATGAGCTAATGAGGCCCCGTGACAGAGATGCATGGAAGAAATAGCATGGCAGGATATGCTTTTTACTGAAAAAGTTCCAGGAATTAATTCTGGTAGCATTACATATTCATCATACTTTGTTCTATGCTACTTTCCACAATAAGAAAGACCAAGAGCTAATTGCTCATAAAACTCTATTGAGTGACCTCAAGGAATAACACAGAACAATCCACTTTCTGAAGAGAAACTGCCACAGTGGAAAGAGTATATCCACACTCTCCCGAGCTGCTGCTTGAGAGTTCACCTCTGCCCGGACAAGGTTTGCAGCATTCGTTACCGATATCTACAACCTATGTCAGATCTAGCCCTGTGTGAGAGCTCTGGAAGTGATTAAAGGAGCTGTGGAAGAGCTGTCCTAAGATATTTCACTTGCTGAATATGAAGATCAGACTCCTGTATCACTGGGTGCACCACTGACTCACACCAAAGCATGGTTTACTCATTTCAGAGAAGCAGAAGTGCAGAAAGAAGGGGTTCGACTAACAGTTTTGCATGCACATTTTCCCCCCTCTCATAGAATTTTCTCTGCACTCACTTTCCAATGTCTCCACTGTCTTCTCTAGCTCCAATTCCAACAGTCTCAGGTGCACTTCTGTGCAGTATCACAACATTGTGCTTTTCCTTAAACCAGTGGTAGGTTGGAGAGGCTGTGATAGTAGATGGTATCTAGTGCATCCTGTTTAGTAACAGGATATTCCTGCTCTGGACATCCAGATATGGTTCTGGAGTAGACATTTTCAGCACAAGGTTGATCCCACATCTGTTCCTTATTGCCTTAACTAATGCCCAAGGTGTTTTCCAAGGTAAAAGCATTGTTATCAGTGAGTCCTTCCCAGAGTAAGGACTATTTGTTATGCTTCCTGTTTCTGCTGTCTATTTATGTTTCTCATCACCTTGTAAATGAAGGTTACATGAGGTGAGATCCTTGCAGAATCAGAGTGGGAAAGCTGATAAGGTCACATTGTGGATGGCCATGGCCAGCAGGCACAAGAGGCAGTGTGGGCCCCCCACCCCGATACAGGGGGCAGTGCCTTGGAACATCCCAGGCTGTTTTCAACACACCCTCCCTGACCAGACTAAAGAATTTCTGTTCCAGAAGTGAAGTAGGTCTATGGAATTTAAGGCTGTGCTGTGCTGTACAAGTCAAAAACAATATTGTGCAAGTACTTTCTGCTTCCTTTTGAACTTTTTGCAGTGCCCTCATGTTTGCACAGAGCTGTGGAGGGCAGGACCAGGACTTGTTTAGAAATGGTGTGGCTGTGAACTATGATTGGCAAGGAAAGAAGATAAGGTCATAGAGGTGTCAACAAGTTAAAAGGTGGTAGGTGCACACATGTGTGCAAGTCTGGCAAAAAGAGACTGGTCAGGGCTGTCTTTGTTGTCAACATGGCAGACTTCCTGGCAGTTTGTGAGTATTTGACAATGCTGCTGTAGCTATTTGGGCTAGCAGTTTCAGAGCTGGATCAGGATGAAAGGGCATGACTGACTCCAGAGCAGATGTTTGCTACCTGTGATGAGCGGTTTAAATTCTCACAAAGTCAGTGGAGATCTAGTCACTACAGGGAGTAATGTGCCAAGGAGCAGCCCAGCAGAGCAGCCATGGCAGGTGGCACTCAGTTGCCCGGAGACATCCAAGCAGGCTGGCAGGTAGGACAAAAGACTTGCAGGAAATCATCTTTTCTAGAAGGACACCTGGATACCACCAGCCAGCACCTTACTTTAAGTAATGAGTTACAGCTCGTGTGTCTGCTCTGGGATGACTGAGTCATTCTCTAAGTTCCACTGACTGTCCCATCCAAATTTCCATTGACCACAATGAAAGTTTAGCCAAACTGTAGGCATCTGTGTGTGTACACCTACAATGTATGTACCTTGGCTTCAAACTGGATCCCAGCCAGGCTGTTTTCATGAGGTAGTGGAGGGGGACATGGAAAGGAGGAGAGGAAGTGCAACCCAAGATTTTGCCACTGGGGATTTTTCAGGGACGGGATAGGTACTGTACAGCACAGTCATCCAAGGAAATGGGAAGATACCACAGCTATTTTAATCCAAGTCACGTATGGGAGCACAGGCACAGTGGAATATAGTCACCGTAGAAGAAAACACGGGTTCATTTACTTTCCAGCCATCTGAGGAAACAAACAGACCAAATGAGTCCAGATTCCATCCCACGGACTTTGGGTACCCAGGAAACCTCAGCATGACATCAGCCAGCAGCAAGGAGGCAGTGCCTCACACAGCCGCTGTAGTGCTGCGGAAACTGACACTTCTCCGTGTGGTGGGGACGCTTCTGTTCTTAAGGGAAAAATCGACCAGTCAGTCGCTACTTATAGTATGAGATTGTCCAAAGGATGCAGGGAGCCTTTAGAAAGATAACTTTCTCCAGTAGATTTGGTCATCATCTACTGTGTTGTGGATACGCAGCTTAAAGAGACAGGTGGGGGTCACCGGTCTCTCTGATTTACCCAAACGGTGATTACCCCACACAGCTCCCTACAAGCTGCTTATTTAAGGCATCTGTGTCATTTTTCCTGTCAGCAAGCGTATGCCAAGCCACAACCGTAAGCTCAGTGTTTCACCACAGAAATAGTCACAGAAAGCAATTCGTGAGCCTACACTGAAAACGCGAAAGCTGTAATTAAGTCAACTCTTAAAGTCATTCTCAGGCTGAAACAACACGCTTTATTTTAAGCATCGTTGGAGAAAGAGGAGGGGATAGGTTGGGTGGAACCCTGGAAACAAACACTTTCATCTAAGCTGGAGAAACTCCTTTCGGCGCACTAAACATTCACCAAGGCTTCCTGGAAGCGCCGGATTTTGTCCTCTCGCCGCCACCTGATTCCTCCTCCGCTTTCAGCCCCCGCCACCCGCGCGTCCATCCCCGCGGAGCCACGCGGAGCCGCTCGAGCTCCGCCTCCGCCCGGCGGCGCGGAGCGGCGCGCAGCCCGCGGTATGGCGCACGGCTCGGCCGCGCTCTGCCTGTGGCTGTGGCTGAGCGCGGCGGCGGGGCTGCGGCTCACGCTGCTGCACACCAACGATGTCCACGCGCACGTGGAGGCGCGGGGCTGCGCGGAGAGGCCGCAGAGCTGCTTCGGTGGCGTGGCGCGGCGGGCGGCGCGGGTGGCGGCGGAACGAGCGGCGCAGCGCAACGTGCTGCTCCTGGACGCCGGTGACCAGTACCAGGGCACCGTGTGGTTCTCCCGATTCAAGGGTCGGGAGGCCGTGCACTTCATGAACCTCCTGCGCTACGATGCCATGGTAAAGAGGAGCGGTGCGGGGCTTTCCTAGCTCCCCGGGGGGGCGGGTGCGTGCCTACCTTGCTCGATTCTGCGGAGTGTTGCAGCGGAGGGGCTGAGTATCTCGGGGGGATAAAGGATGGCAAGAGAAGTGTTGAGCTGGGTGAAGGGCGTCCCGCTGGGTAAAGGCGTCAGCTGGCAGCCAAGGAGTGGAGTGTGTGCCGAGGCTGCGGAGAGGATGGGACGCGGCTAAAGAGCCGCTGGTTGGCAGAGGCTTGGGGCGAGCAGGCTGGAGGGGCTCTGGTGGCGAGGGGCTCGGTGGAATCGACAGAAAACGCCGAGACCGGCTTGACGGGTCGAGGAGCGCATGCCCGAGGGGTTACACCTGGCCATGCATGCTGGGGGAAGGCTGCCCGGCTGTGTCTGGTCCGGCTCACAGTGGCAGCGCTGCTTCAAAGGGTTTGGATTTGGGGTGTTAGTCGGAACACCCCCGCTCGTGTCCAGTCCTGCCAGTCCCGGGGTTGTGAGGGGACGTAAGGGTCCTGTGCGAAGTGACTCCGGCTGCGGCAGGCTGCAGGTAGCATGGGGACCGTCACCGCACCTGAGGGAGCCGGCACTGCGCCTCCAATCTGCTTCCTCTGAGCGCCGCCGGGAAGGCTGAGGATTTGGGATGAGGTTGGGGGGACATGGTCACCCCATGGTCTTAAACCTCTTCTCTCAGAATGATAAAGAATTACTGTAATTTGTTCTACTTGTGTAAAACACCAGAAGGGAGGAAAGGGATGGAAATTATGTTTGGGAGTGTGTAGTTATTTGATCACAGCAGACAGCTTGAGAGGAAAATCTTGCTCTGAGCACACTGCATCCTCTGTCTTTATCTTGCTTTCTGTGGAAAGGCATTCCTTTCCCAGCTCCAGAAGGGGAAGTGTTGGCCCATGCATTCTCCTGCCACACCTCATGCCAGGCAGGCAGTGCTGTGAGGGATGCTGCTTGTTGTTGGTTTGGCACCCTGAACTGTTTAATTTTAAAACTAACGTTGCCATGGGGTTTCCTCACAGTGATAATGGGGAAGAATGTGTGCCTGCAGAACTGGGAAAGGCTTTGGAGTTCTGGAACACAGGAAGATGATACTAAAGATATTTTTTTCCACCTTCCTTCCCAAATCTTGCTGCTGGCTGCCCTTTCTCACCCTTAGTTGTTGCTGGTTTGACTGGTCCGTGGACAAGACTGGAGTTCTCTCAGTCCTGGTTGTATTAGAAGTTGTTTCTTTAGGCAAGATCAGCAATATTGAGCTAGTTCCCAGTATTATGAAGATGTAATGTAGGAAGCATCAGCAGTTCAGTTAGGACACCTCATTAGCTTTTTTGTCATAATAAAATAAAAGTAATAAAAAATCTGAACCATATCGGATATCCAGACGTTTGTAGTGAATGCTAATGCCTTAAGTGAAGTAGTCAGCCACTTGCACAGGGAGTGAGCAAAGAGCCATGCTGCAGAAAGGTGAGTCAGTGCTTCTGTAAGTACAATTTGAGAAGTCATAGCTTTGGCAGAAGGGGTGTAGCTTACCAAAATGGTTGGAAGCTGAGATACCAAAGTAAGATTGCAAACAAGATGAAGGGAACATGAGTCACAGAAATCGTAACAGAATGAGGGCAGGAGAGCCAAGGAAGTGTTTGGGACAGCTTGGCAGCATTATCAGGTTTGTTCCACAAGTCAGACAAACTTGTTTTTTTTAGATTTCTCATTTTCTCATTTGTGCCCATTATCAATTCAAGCCTATTTTCTCCCGTTTAGCGAGGTATTGTGTTCCAAATCCTCTTGCCACTAGCTTTCCATTTTGGTGTGATTAACACAGAAATCCACATGAAGTACCAGAAAGGCAGTAAATGGAGGGGTGAGAGAAGCATTCTAGTTTTACTTTTAAGTTGCATCCATATGTTAACTTGAATCCTGATTTTTGAAATATTTTCAGCTTCGATTCTTGTGCAAGGGGGATTATATAACCACATGCTGTATGCCTGCATCTTTTTGTTTATTCCCTATTGTCATAGAATCATAGAATTGTTTGAATTGGAAGAGACCTTTAAAAGTCATCTAGTCCAACTCCTCTGCAAGGACAGGGATGTGTACAGCTAGATCAGGTTGCTCTGGGTCTGGTCCAGCCTTGAATGTCTCCAGGGACAGGGCATCCAATACATCTGTGCAACCTGTTCCAGTGCTTCACTATTCTTATTAAAAAACCCTTTCCTTACATCTCCCCTCTTTTGGTTTTAAACCACTTCCTCTGTCCTATCACAACAGATGCTGCTTAAGAGTCTGTTCTCTTTTTTCTTACAGCCCCCTTTAGATACAGCAGATATCAGACCTCCAGCCTTCTACAGGCTGAACAACCTCAGCACTCTCAGCCTGTCCTCATGGAGGAGATGTTCCATTCCTTGAATCATTTTTGTATTGATCAGTGTATTCAGATTTGTTGAAGGTTTATTCTCTAAGATTAAAAAGTCATAGAAGCTCTGTGCATAAAGTGGTTGGGTAAAGAAACCCCAAATGAGCAGCACATCTTTCTCCCCAGAGAAGAAGCCACATCAAAAATAAGACTGTATTATTAGACACCAGTGACTTCTCATGAACAAGAGACTTTATAACTGCCCACATCATGGGAAAAGTTTTGATTAAAGCTTTTATCCTAATGGACATGAAATAATCCAAATGCTACGAAGCCAAGAGAAACAAGGTTTCATAAGTGTGTTGGGGTTTTTTTTGGTTGTTTTTCTTTTGTTTGTTTATTTGTTTTTTCATGTGCTGATGGCTGTTATACGCAATTCCAATTCTTATTTCTTTTGCCACCAGTTGTTTTGGGGTATAGTTTTGTATTTAGGATGAACAAAATGTATGTGCATCAGCCAAAGGAAATGGCTTGATACTGTTCTCAGATGCTCCATCAATCTGTCACCATTCTTTCAGGACATCAGTTGACATCAAAATGAGTTTCTATAGATTTGATTATTTTTTTCTTTTTTTCTTACCACAGATTAGATTGAAATCAGTATTTGGTTATAAATGTTACACAGTCAGAACACATTGCATTTTCTGAAGTCAGGATTTTCTTCAAGATAGTTCTTGGTTCTGCTTGAAAAATGCAGAAGCAGCAGCACGAGAACCATTTTCCTCCTTCCCTGGGGTGGCAGCAATTTTCTCACTAGCATCAGCAGGAGCAGTTGGTTGCAAATGCAAGATATGTAAGATCTTGCTGGTGTCTTGATTTTTCCTCAATCATGCTGTGGCACCCAACACACCAGCATCTCCCTGCCTGTGGGAGCCAGGATTCTTGTCTACCCTGAAAGAAAGACATTATCAATTCATTGCTCAAATGCTGACCTCCCATGCTTGTGGCTTCAGGATCCTCCTTTCTGTAGTCTGGGGAATAAAAACAGGAACACAGATGTGTGTTTGTAGAGCAGGGAGGTATATAAGCCTTTTTAGATTACGAATACAGCTTCTCCTATTTAACCTTCAGGATGAAATCATGAGCACCTTTTTGTTTAGAAGAGCTGGCTAACTGAATTCAGCACCCCTCATACTCTGCTCAGTTGCCACCTGGCATCTTGTTACAGGTGCCAATTTATGCTATCACTGTCTTTCCATAGATGTATCCTTTTCTTTCCTAACACTTCAGGGTGATACAAGGTTCTTGTGTGTGCTGAGCTTCTGCATAGCTGCCCTCTGTGGTGATTTTCTGGCTAGCGCTAAACCTGGACGCCCAGGTGTGTGGCCTCAAGAATTATTGCTAAATATCAATAAATATATTTTTAAAACTGCAATCCAAGCATGAGCTCTTAAAATACTTTTTATTTAAAGTTAACATATATTGTGATTGGCTTGTAACATTTTTTCAGTATTTTTTTTTTTCCTCAACACGAAATGCATGTTTTCCTTGCTGGTTATTGTTAATCCTTTCATAGTTAGAGGATGTAAAACTGCTGGGTTCCAATCTGAATTATGAATTTGAATTATGAATTCTATTTATGAATATGAGCACTTACTTAGATTTTAGATTCCCACTTTCACATCTGTACTGATATAAGAACATCTGAAAAGCAGAAACCTAAACCATAAAAAGTAACATTCCTATGTTTGTGGGAAACAGAAATGTGATGGTTTAGACAAGAAATTGAATTCTTCCCTAGAACACCGACTTGGTTTTCTCAAACATACTTTGTATGTCATTTATAAGAGTATTTATACTGATTTGGAGGAAGTATCTTACATTTTCTTCTGCTTTTCACAGGCTTTGGGCAACCATGAATTTGATGAAGGTGTGCGTGGATTACTGGATCCTCTACTTAGAAATGCTAATTTTACAATTCTGAGTGCAAACATTAAGGGAAAAACCCCATTAGGAAATCAAATGATGAAATACGTTCATCCTTTTAAAATACTACATGTTGACTCAGAAAGAATAGGTATCGTTGGCTACACTACAAAGGAAACTTCCTTTCTTTCACAGCCAGGTATGTTTTAATATGTCTGTACCCTTTACTGTGTTTTATTGCTTACCTACTTGTCTGAACCCAAAGATGATGAATGTCTTCAATGGAAAGTTTCTTGTTTGGTTGGTACATCCCTATATGATTGAGCATTTTAATTTCCTCATTTTTAAACTGGTGAAGGTTTGTTAATTATCTTGCGTCACTGAATATCTAAGAATAATAGTAAGGCCAGTGACATTATGGGAAAACAGGGGGGAGTGGCTTGGGGGAGTTTTATTGGCACTTTTTTTTTTTTTTTTTTTTAAATACATATTCATCTTGCTATTTATTTAAACAAGTGTTAAGTCATGAATAAAGCTTGTCTCTAGAGTGATGTGTGTTCAGGCAAATACATCACTCTGTGTTGAAATTTTACCCACAGATGTCTCCATGCTTGAGCACCAGTAAAATCATGGAGAGCTTCTGTGTTTTTAAAGCAGAAGTTGCTCAAGATGTTTTTGGCCTCTCAGATATTTCTATAAATTAGACTAAAGAAGGAACGTGCATTCAGCTTTTACCACAATTGCTTCATTCATGAGTAAAATTAGAGTTGATGAGGAAGACACTTTTCAATTTCTGACTATTCCATCAATTTAGGGGTTTTGTTTTCTTCTTGGTCTTAGTAAAAAGAAATTGAAATGAATAAATATAAATAAAACAGAATGGAAACATCTGAATCAGCCGTAGGAGATCTGAGTCACTGCTTGCTCACTGTTCAGTCCCATTCTAAGAAAATCCGACTTTCTTTCCTGGATTTCTATCGGTTCTAAAAGGAACTGGAATGCTCTAAACATTGATTTAATACATTTTTCTGTACTGAAAAGAAACCATTTCATTTTATGTCTCTTTCCATTGGACATCAACAAAGCTAAAGCAGTAATGCATATCTTTCCTGAGAAAAGGAATATTCAAGTATTGCGATGTAAAAATGTTCCTTCCGTGCCATTTAATTCTTACAGTGTTTATTTAAACTATCAGGGAGCGGATGTATGAGGTCAGAATAGACTTCTGTATCTGACTCCTATTTTTCAACACTGTTCTGGGAGCCTTGTCTGTTTTTTTTCCCTAATGAAAAAGGAAATGAATCTATATTTTGTGTAAGTAGGCAATAGAATTTCACCAGTGCATGAGAGTGTACCAGTATCATCTGACATCATGCTGAGTCTAAGAACTCTTCATACAGCTAATTTTGTCCAATATTGTTCTTCTTTCACAGTTAATAAAGTAGATCTCTGCTCCTTTTCCAAACAACAGTATTGGCATGGTGATGTCAGGCTGATTTCCTTTCAAGTAATTCTACTAGAGGAAAATCTAGATAACATTGGACTGCTTTTTTTGCAGCATTTAAATGCATCTCCAGCAACATAAAAATATTGTATTGAATGCCTCAGTATGCTGAGACATTTTATCAGTGACCGTGACTAGAAAAGACAATATTAGAAGGGAAAGCTTGTTAGCTCTGTATAAGCAGCTACAGAAGCACTAAGCTAAGTATATCCCACAGTGCAAGTGAACAGCAGGGCAAAATCTAACAGCTACCATTTATAGTGATCAGGGTTTTTATAGCTTTCTGCTTTGCCTTCTCAGTGAGTGAATGAAGGAACATTTGGAAGCTTTGAAAACTGTGAGTTCAAAATATGTTTGTGTATCTCAGTGACTAGAACCTAGGACCTAGCAATCCTTCAGACTGATAAAATTGTGGTAGAGGAGGGTCAGTACCAAAATAGGTATCAGCCTAATTTCTTAGAGCCATGAGTAACATAAAGAGTGCATTTTAAACTCATTCCCTTGCTGATCTCCACATGCTTCTCTCAGATAGTGCAATTTGCTCAGACTGAGCTGTAATGGCTTTGGCATGCTCTACACTCTTAGGGCATTTTCAGGAGTTCATAATAGGAAACTTGAAAATGCTGAAATGTGAATTCCTATACACTATTTTCCACAGTTTTTTTTCTTTTTCTTTCTTTCTTTTTTTTTTTTTTTTTAAGTATGATTTCTTCCATCTTTAAATCTCAATAACAAGACACAGTTATTAAATTGTTATTAAAGTTTGCACTTTTCATACTGTAGAACAGCTAACTTACTAAAACACACTAAAATTAAGAAGTCCTTAAACCTCAGCATTGCTATTGTGAAGGAACAATTAATCCTTGCTGAAGGTACTGTTAATTTTACTGATGGGAAACCATAGGGATGGGCAACACTCAGTGCAATTTATAGATTAGAGAAAATTGGCAGTTTTTCTAAAGTTCCTCTCAAAGTGGCTGTATACATCTATCTCAGCTGAATGCCCAGCCACATGTCCTGCATGAGTTGTTCATACCTTGATATGCTGACAGACCAGTGTCTGATAATCTGAAGGTCAACATTCTTGTATATGATGATACCAACTCACTGAGTGTCTGACTTGTTATTCTTTGTGTTGTGAACTCCCAAAATAATTCATGTATTTATCTGTCCCGAGAAGTGCCACATACCTGCTATATACCCATTTGTGTTGTTAAATAATACATCTCATTTTGTCCACTGTCATGTAAGGTACAAACCCAAAGTAGCTTACTCAAAAAAACCCTAATGGCAGAAAAATATTTACTAAAAATGTCAAATTGGCTGGTTTTCTAAAATGTAATTTTAAATTCCATTTATCTACTTTGTTCTGGCTGGCTTGTATAATATTTTTAACATGCAGCCAGTTCTTTTCCTCAGTTCAGTTTGGATGTTTTATCTGAAAATCTACCCCTGGCTAAAAGGAGAAGAGGATGTCACTTCATTTTAATAACTTGAGAGATAAGTGAAATACTGACAGAAGCAGTAGATAACTCTCAGTTAAGAACCGTATTTCAATTCAGATTTTTTTGAAAAAACGGGCAGTGGAGCACTAGGCAGTTTGTTGCTTTTTGCCTCATGCCTTAGAGAAATTAGAAATTCAATTGCTATTGCAGTTCCCTGCTGTATAAGTGTTGAATTGCTGGCCAATTTCAGCTAAATTTAATGAAGCAACGCAATGGCTAAGACATGAAGCTTAGGGAAAGCCTGTAAGAGCAGTACTCACCTCCCCAGAGCAGCAATCCCTTTTGAAGGTACAGGGAACTGCCTGATGTCACAGCCATTCCACATCTAGCCCTTCATTTGGAGATCTTTGCTCTCTACTGATCTTCATGCTGCGGTGTGTGTGTCTGTTGTAGCTGGTTCACAGATGGTTCAGCAAGGCCAAGTGCAAGGTACTTAGGCCGGAGGAATCCCAGTAGTTATACAAACTAGGGGAAGTTCTTGAGAGCAGCCCTGTGAAGAAAGACTTGGGGGTCCTGGTGGACGAGAAGCTGGACATGAGCCAGCACTTGCACTTGCAGCTCAGAAGGCCAACTGTGTTCTGGGCTGCATTAAGAAAGCGGTGGCCAGCAGGGAGAGGGAGGTGATTGTCCCCCTCTGCTCAGCTCTTGTGAGGCCCCATCTGCAGTACTGCATCCAGGCTGGGGCTCCCAGTACAGGAAGGATGTGGAGCTCTTGGAGCGGGTCCAGAGGAGGGCCACTAAGATGATCAGAGGGCTGGAGCACCCTGGTTGAGGGAATTGGGATTGTTTAGCTTGGAAAAGAGAAGGCTCCCGGAAGACCTCATTGTGGTCTTCCAGTACTTGAAGGGAGCATATAAACAGGAGGGGGAATGGCTGATTATGAGGATGGATAGTGATAGGACAAGGGGGAGTGGTTTTAAATTGAGACAGTAGAGGTTTGGGTTAGATATTAGGAGGAAGTTTTTCAGCCAGAGGCTGGTGAGGCACTGGAACAGGTTGCCCAAGGAGGTTGTGGATGCCTCATCCCTAGAAGCATTCAAGGCCAGGCTGGATGTGGCTCTGGGCAGCCTGGTCTGGTGGTTGGCAGCCCTGCACATAGCAGGGGGGTTGAAACTAGATTGTCATTGTGGTCCTTTTCAACCCAGGCCATTCTGTGATTCTTTGATGAGATGAGCACATGAAGGGCCTACATTCATGGAGCGCTTTTCAGACTTTGTCTTCTGCAAGGAGCTCTGCACTAGGCCCAGCTTCAATCAAGCCCACAGAGAGGCTGCAGCTGGTGGCCTGGAGAAGGAAAGCTAAGGGGGATATAATTCATGTCTTCCATTGTCTTAATAGAAAGAAAACAGAAAGAGACCTTTCTGAGAAGGGTCCAAAGGAGGGACAAGAGACAATGGGCTCTAGTAGCACCAAAGGAAATAATGGCAGGATGTAAGGAAAAGATTTGTCATGCTAAGAGTGGCTAAGCTATGAAGCAGGTTGCCCAGTGAGGTTGTGGATTTTCAGCTTGCTTGGACAGGACCTGAGCAGCCTCATCTGGCTTTGAGTTCCTGCTCCAAGTAGGTTTTGGAGTTGATGGCCCCTGGAGGGCCCTTCCAAACCTCAATTAATTTCTGACTCTTTGATCCTAAGAAGAGGTCCTCAAGAAAAAAATGTGGGGATGCTCTACACAATTTGCTCTGAAATGTGCAGTACAGAGATTCCCTCTGGCAGTTGTAGAGCTATTCAGCGGGTGTGGTGGGTAACCAATTTATATAACCCCCTTTTATCTCTTCTATTGTGGCAGTTTCCTCTTCATTTCCTGAGACATTTTGCATTGAATTAAGAATTAGTTTCACTCCTCCCTTTGTTATGAAATAATGTAAATCTTTTGACTTTAAAGGCATATTTCAAAACTGCTTGATTGAAAAACTACAGGAAGAAGAGGCATTAGGTAGATGAGGTTGAACGTTATTCAGTTGTCTTCACTGAACAGTTAAGGCTGACAGTTTGTTGACTCTGTTCTTAAAACTTTGTTGAAGAAATTAACTTCTTACATAGGAAGTCCTTTTGCGCAACCATAAGCACTGTGACCAGGATGAGAATCCCTATTTGTCTAATGTTCTTGTAACTGTTTGTCACATTAGAATAATTTCAGCACGCACAGAAACATTTCAGAAAGATTGTGAGTTTCCCAACACTGTAGTCCGGAAGAGCTTTCTCCTTTCCAGACTTTCCATTCCTTATGTTCTCATTTTGGTACAGCAGCTCATTTGCTGTGCAGCCATTTGGCGTTACTGATAGAGGTCCATATTAGATGAGATAATTTGTATAACAAGGCTGCACTTTGAAGCAGTTGATGCTTAAAGCCTCAGAAGAGGGGAAAAAAATGAGATGAGTGTACAGTAAAAAGAGAGAGATTTAATCCAAGCGAAGAGGGAACATCTCAGAGAAATATAATTTGAGAAGAAAAAAGCTTCATAGTTCTATGTGCAAATGTTTACACCCAGGCACTTGTTGACATTTTGTTTCCTTTTTCCAGCTAAATAATAAAAATAATTGGCATTATTAATTTTTTTATTAATTATTAATAATTTAATTTTTTTAATATTAATTTTTAACTTTTTTAAGTGGAATTGTAACTTATTTAGTATAGGCAGGTACATTTCAGTACCAAAAACTTGAATTAGTCTAAGCATGCAGATATTTTTGAGAGACAGAGGAACTTCAGATCAGGTTAGGAACTTGAACCAGTTATGAACATTTGAAAGCCACTGCCATTCAACTTTCCATTAATTGTGCAAAAAAAAAAGAATCCAATATGACATTTATGTGTTAGAAAAACTTGTAATTAAGATGCTTTGTAAATACATTTATTCATGCTTCCTCCTTTCTTTTTTCTTTTTCTTTTTTTCCCCAGGGAATGATGTAATCTTTGAAGATGAAATTGAAGCATTGCAAGTGCAAGTGAACAAACTTACAGCAATGGGAGTAAACAAAATAATTGCACTAGGGCACTCTGGCTTTACTGTGGACAAAAATATTGCCCAAAAGGTGAAAGGAGTGGATGTTGTTATTGGAGGACATACAAATACATTTCTCTATACAGGTATTTTACTTCATGCTGAAGTGTTATTTCTAAAACAAAACTGAAACTGACTGTTTCTCTTTAAACTCAGAGGACTTTCACAAATACAGTTTACTGCCAGCAATGCTGGCCATATTCATATCTGGTACCTATCCATAACTGCACCATCATCCTTTGGTGATGGTGCTAACATGTGATAACAGAGACTGGTCTGTGGATATACTGTACTCAAATATACTGCCAGCAGCTTGCAGCTCAGGCAGTTCCCAAGCCTGAAGCAGCTCCTTAGTATTTCTTAGTCACCGCTGGAACTTCTCTTCCCTGAACTTGCCCCATCTGCCCTTGAGCCCTTCAGCCTTTCCGTGCAACAGCTGGTTGTAGGGCATTCCACTGCTGAGCTGCATGTTCTGCAGCGACCTTGCTCTTTTTTTCTTATTTGCAGCCTGCTGACCGCTGATGGCATTCTTTCTGAAGTTTTATTGAACTGTTTTGGAGATGGGAAAATGAAGGATGGATACAGTACTCAGTGTGTGCATTCATCATGGATTTATATGGCAGAATGGAGACTCCTTTGCAAAGGACTCATTAGCCATAGATAGAAACTAAAATAATGACCAGAAAGCGTAACTTTCTCTTGCTAATGTTCCATTCATTCAAAGAATAGAGAAGGGCAAAAGATCAAAACCAGTTCATTTTCCAGTTTCAAAAAAACTAAAGCTACTTTTGTATGCATAAATACTTCAGGGTTCTCATTAGTTACAGGATTCCTTCAGTTCTTCCCAAAATAAAAGTTAAGTTGTGAAGGGACCTGGATTCGTCTATGAAACCAAATCTGTCAGTCAAGCTAAAAGTAGGAAAAAATGATTCTCTTGTGAACTTGGTTCAGCTTGTCATTTGTTACAGTCATTCCCTCTTGAGAAGAGGAGGGATTAGAGATGAATATGATTTGCATTAGAGTTCTGGAAGGAACATTTGTCATGCTTATCATCCCCGGATTTCATGCTACATAAACAACCACAAATGAGAGGAAACCAGCTGCGCTGTGAGCAGTGGAAGTAAGGAGTGTGCTTTCCTTCCACTCCCCCTTCCACACACCCACTTGCCCCTGCCTGCAGGCAGCCCAGCTCTCACGCATTGGAGTAAGAGAGAAGCATTCCCATGAATGGAAAACATGGAAAACAGCAGCAGGCTGTGTGGCTTTGCAGCAGGACCTGTCACCATGCGTGAGACACCTCTTGGAGCCACCCAACCTGGGCCTTTGCTGGCGATAGGTGCTGATGGGAATATCAGAGGGTGTGATGCTACTCAGGTATATTATCAAGGCTACAGGGAGGCAGCTGGCATGCTGAGACAGGTGCTACATGGCTTGCTTTGCCACTTCCTCCCCTGCATGGTTTCTAAACTCAAAGTAGCCTATGCTGATTGAGCCAAGAGCTCTGGAAATATCTTGTTTTAATGTATCTGTTTCCAAGTCTTACATCTAAACACACTTCAAACTTTGCAGGGCAGTAAGTTTTAAATCCATGACTACTTAACTCTCATGCTGATGAAATTTTCTTTTGCAACAGGTTTGCAACCTGTCTGAAATTTTGGAGACTAAGTTTGGTATAGTAAAAATCAGTTGGGTGTTGATTTAAAAAAACAAAAATTACAGAACTGCTTGCAGTATTCTGTGTATTATCTTAACATCTTTTTTTTTTCCCCTCTGTTTTACTCATATTCTTTTTTTTTTTTTTTCTAGCTGGTACAGAGCAATGTAGTATGAAGGCTTTTCAGCCAGAAGATGGTGTGTGCATTACTTAGAGGCTTAAATTTGGATCATCTGAATGAAAAGTGCCTTTGTTGCTATTGTGACATGATGTCATTGGAGGAATGCACTGTCACAACTTAAAAAACACTGTAGTAGTAATTAGAGCCCAAGTCCTCAAAACAACATCATCTCTTATGAATTAACATAATTGAACAACTAAATGTGCATTTGCCTTCATAGTTGGTTCTGCTTAATATACTATTTTTTTTTTAAGGATAGGAGGCATTTGAAATTCCTTCTTACAATTCCTTGAAGGGCACATGAGCTGAAGCCCCTCTTTACATGGTTGTTTTGCGCAGGAACCCCTCCCTCTACTGAGCAGCCAGCTGGCCCATATCCCTTCATGGTTGACTCAGATGATGGGAGGAAGGTGCCAGTGGTACAAGCTTATGCTTATGGAAAATATCTTGGTTACTTGAATGTTACATTTGACAAGAAAGGAAATGTAGTTGAAGCAGTTGGGAATCCTATCCTGCTGGACAGCAGTGCTCCTGAAGGTAAGTGGACTTTGAATTTGCCTGCTCTACTACAGTTCCAATATTTCTGTGTTAAATACGTAGCACGATGTTGCAGGAGAATTCAGCTTTCTACTTGCACTTGCAGCTCACTTCAGTGTGGATTTCAGGCTGTGTCACTATTGTATTCATTTTCCTCTGTATTTCCTTTTCTAAAGAGTAAGATGGAAAGGCCCTTGAATTCACGCAAGTGCAATGTATGTCTTTGTCTGTTTAAAATCAGTGAGAGTCCTTTTGTGGGAACTCAGGTGATACTTTATCTTCCCACTTAGGAGTCAGTAAAAAGCAAAAATTGAGATAGGTGCTCTGATTTCATAAACATACAATTTTGACATAACATTATAAATGTTGCTGTCGCTGACAAAGTTATATAGCAAATGGCTTAAAATTAATAAAGCAGTTATCTGCTTTATACACATCTGTATACACAAGCATTCTTGTATCTGTTTGTTTTCTGATAGAATTAGATTTGCACAGATTTGTGTATATAGTTATTTTCTATAATGGCTTTATTCCTTGGCACTGATACTTGAGCAAGTATTCCTTTTAGCACAGCATTAAAGGGAAAGGAGCTATCTTTAGAAGGAGGAAAAAAAAAGGAGATGATGAAAAGTAAAGACCAGGCTCACTTGTATATTACAAATTCTTGAATAGAAGCTGCCATCTGCAAAGGCAGATGCCAGAAACCCCATTGCTCGGAAGCTGCAGCAGGACTGGGTGAAAATATGTGTAAGTGGAGTAGAAGAGAGGGCTTTACTGTGGCAAGAGAACAACTTATTCACTGGTTTGTGCAGTTCTGCCTCCTCCCTCCCTAAGCTTTGTTTAGAATGAGTGTGGATGCCATATTGTTGGAAAAGCCTCTAGGAAAAGGGTAAAATTTCAGAAACATACAGCGTGGATTTTTTTTCTAAGTTTTGTATACATTGAAAATGTGTGTACTGCTTATTTCACACTTTTTTTTTTTTTGCTAATTTGAAGATGAGCAGATTAAAGAAGAAGTGGAAAAGTGGAGGAAAAACTTGGGGAATTACTCTAAAGAGATTGGAACAACTAGTGTTTATCTGAACGGTACAGGCGAAGCATGCCGTTTCCAGGAATGCAACATGGGGAACTTGCTTTGTGATGCTATGGTAAGAAGCTACCACCACAGGTGGCAATCACATCTATGTATTACTGTGATGGAATGATCAGATGAAATGTTCCAAGTTTCTGAACTGTCCCTGGATGTGCTCTCTGCTACTTTCTGTCCCTTTAACATGTCATACTTCCTTTGAAAGACTGGCAGGAGCAAGGCTGCAGTGAATCTCGCTTTGTAGAGTAGGGAGCACTTTATTCTCAATATAGACACTCATATAGAGAACTGTTTGTTCTGTTGAGGCTGCAGTTTTAAGAGTGAGGGAGAATCAGCTCAGTTGCCCATGACTCTGCTGTTCTGATTCTCACTCTGACAAGTGAGCGTGCCCAGTGCTTTTTTCTCAGCCAGTGCTGGCAGTGCCCTTTTATGGACTTTTTGTGAAACAGAGCCAGGTCTCAGGAGCTGGAAAGTCTTAGGGTACTTTCCAGCCCTGAGGGCACTGCCAGCCCTTGCTGTTCCTGCCCACCTGCCCAAGGACCCAGTGCCAGCCCCAGGGTCAGGCTCCTCACAGTCCAGTGTCCAATGTCTGCGATTGTACTGGTGATTCTGGCTGCCCCACTCCTGGTCAGGGCCTTAGGACAGGCCTTGGCTAAGTAGGCTTGCCTTAGCGGACCAATGGGGAGACCCCAGTGTTCCCAGCACCCCATCCTGGAGCCTTGCTCTGCTCCTACAGGTGTCACTGTGCTTCATCACATCATACTAGAAGTCTCTTATCAGTTTTAAACCAATTGGTTTGGGTTGTTTTACTCTCCCACAGTAGCACCATTTCCTTTGCATGCTCCAGAGAGAAACGTTTACCAATGCGACTGTTTTCAGAAAATGAGAATTGCCATAGATCTCCACTAGCATTGCCACAAAATCAAGCTGCAGTTAATAATAACTTTTTATTTAGATATTTCCCCAAAGCTGTTTATCTAGTCCATGGGATGGCTTTCACTGTAATCCTTATGACAGTTTTTAGTACATGGGCTGATTTCCAGATTAGATTAAGAGTTGGTGTTTCTGCACTCAGTTCTGCTAAAAAGGCAGTACCTTGCTTTGTACTAGATGTTACTATATATTTATTTGGGAAAAAAAAAGTGATCAAATACTTCAGCACTCTTTAAGATTAAAGAAAATCATTTCATTGTCCTTCAGAAGCCTGTGGGCTTTCTTGATACACATTGTGTGTTGGAATATAAAATTCTGTTCTAGTTAAGTAGACTGTCAACCATCTGCATTTGTCATAAATCCACATGGGTTACCTTTTATGTTCTTTGCAATACAAGTTCTACATTTGCTTTCCTGTCTGGTGCTGTGCATTCAGCGGTATCAAGGGATAAAACTGACCTGTCTAAAACACGGGCTTGAATATTTAGAGTCGCACTGGGAAATCTGGAGACTGAGAAACGTGGAAAGATTGTTTAAATAATTGTTCATAACAGAGATCCATGTAGTTCAGCGATGTTTCTCCAACAGGAGCCCAACATCTGAGTAACAGGTTGACAGATGTAGATGGCATTTTACAAAATAATTTGAATGAACTCAAATGGGAAATGACTGAATGTTAACTGGAGCATGTAAACTCTTGTCTAAATTGCCTCTGCGTTCAAGGCTAAGAGAACAGAGAGTGTAGGAGCACACTTTAAATGTATTTTTTTTAGGTACTGAGGAATTACAGATTTATAATCTTGATGTCTGTTCCAGGACAATTACTAAATCAGAAGGTATAGTTCAGATTGAAAAAAATCAGCAAGAGGCAAAATCAACTCATTATGTATGAGTTATGAACTCAAGAATGGATTTGGACTCAGAGCAACAAAGGATTTATGCACCTATAAGTTAGAAGTCACAAAACATCCAGTGAAGGGATGCAGAAAAGAAGTGGATGAACCAGAGCAGAAAACAGGAAAATCCATCCCAGCGTCTCATCTCCGAAAGTGGCTGAGGGATGGTGGTGAGGGCAGAGCATACAGTATGGACAAGCCTATGGAGATGTTGTGTACTCCAGTATGCTTCCAGCAGCTTGCAGCTCAGGAAGCTCCCAAGGCAGAAGCAGCACCTTTGTATTCCCTGTATTCGCCACTGTAACTTCTTTCAACTTACCCCACCCCCCCTTGAGCCTTTCTGCTGTTCACAGCATCCGGTGGCAGGGCGTTCCACAGCTGACCTGTATATCTTGCTTTCTCCAATCTACTGCCTGCTGTGCCCTGGCTGGATGCCTGCTGGAGGCCAAGAAACCGTCCTTGCACTGGAACATTTGGTCCCTATTCACTCTCTTCACACCACTCATGATCTTTTCTGCATGTCAGATATTTTCCTTCCATTGTCTTTTATCGGGACAGACAGTCCTAGCCCACGTCAGCATTCCATGATCAGACGTGTTTCAGTGTCTTTGGTCATCTTTGTACCCCCTCACTGAATCTTTTTCACCTTTTATTATTCTTGAAATGATTCCTATCCAACTTCCACATGCCCTTCTTGATATTTATTGATTTCTGTCCTGCCCTTCCTGTAGTTGTCTCTTTGTGCAACTGACAAGACATAACCATAGCCATTCCATTATGGAAATGAGTCCATCCCTGCCATTATCCTTGTTTCCTTTCTCTTAACCCTTTCCTTTTCTACTCAATTATTTCTAATGATTGATCCTGTAGGCTTGTCAACAGAGTAAATCGCTGTCCTCCATTTTTTTGACTACTTATGATGTCTCAAGCAGATTCTGTTTTGTCCTTGCAAGTTGCTTCTGTCAGAGTTTGGATACAGTTAGAGACATGATGCTGCATGAAGTAGATTTTTGGGTCTGATCTAACATGCCTGTTTCATATTCCACCACTCTTCTACATCTCACTTCTTTGCCAACAGCATTCTAAATATCGAAAACCAATCTTAAAGAAGCTGAAAAAACCTTAATTTCCTGCAATGTTCACCAGGAGCTGTTATTCAGTACATTCCCCTGCATATTTGTAGTGTACAGCTGCACTTAGGGTTCTATTTACTTTCTCATTCTCCAAATGTGCTCAAATAATTTGTCTTCTTTGTCACAATGGTTTGAATCATAAAAAAATCATCCTTTGTTCATCTATCTTTCCCTGGTAATGTTACGTACACACAGATCATGGAAAAAGTTGAGGGTTCACTAAAGAAAAAGGCAAATATTTTTCTTGTTAATAGTTTAAAAAAGCAAAATAATGTGATCTGCCATATTTTTTTTTAATCAGTATTTTACAGTCGGTACAAAGTTAATATTGGAGAAAACAGAAAACCTTTTACTTGTTTTCAGTCTCAGAGTGTAAACATCCACAGCCTGGACTAAGTGAAGACTAAAAATCAGTTTAAACATTTTCCTTTGGTAGCTTTATGAGAATGTCAGACGTCCAGATGGAAAGTCATGGAACCATGTTTCACTGTGCATCCTGAATGGAGGTGGGATACGGGCATCCATCGATGAACAGAGTGCTAATGGTACGTAGAGCTACGTGCTGAGAGCTGGCTTTTCAAGAAAGAATTAGCAAGTTAATATGCAAGCTTGAACACAGTGTTAGGCATGGGCTTGTTTTGATGAGACATTCTGAAATAGTTATCTGCTATTGCAGTGCAACTGCATTCAAGCTGACATTAGAAGTTTTTAGTATTGTTTATACACAGTGCTTTTTATAATTTCATTTTCACCTTGCTGCTGTGGAACAAAGGAAGACAGTAGTTGTTCTTCACCTCCTACTGTAGAAGGACATATGCTATGGTTGCTGGAAGCTTTCTGTAGTCTGCAATGAAACCAATCTTTTTTTTCTGAATGCTTGAAATTTACAGATCCCTTTTTCCTGATATCGGATAAATGGAAATTGAAAACAAACACATTTTTTCACTTTAGCTTAATCCTTCTTCAGAGTTACATGAGTTCATCCTAACCAATTGGAAAAATTGCCAAAGTTAAAGATAGTAATTTTTTTTTTTTTTTTTTCCAAAACCAATGTAAATAAAGTCTCATTTCTCCAGGTAGCATCACTATGGAAGATTTGCTGTCTGTTTTGCCATTTGGAGGTCGTTTTGATTTGGTAACGCTGACAGGTTCCACACTGAAAGAAGCTTTCGAGCACAGCGTGCGCAGGTATGGAAGAGGAACAGGAGAGCTGTTGCAGGTTGGAGGTATGCTTTCTTCCTTCCTTGCCTTGGTTTTCTGAAAGAGCCCTCCTTTTCACAGGCCTTGTTTGTCTGACACTTATAAGACTTTTGCAAAAACGGAAGGCAAACTGGCAGCGTACTCCAGCTCCGTGCTTCATCTGTGCCAGCTAACTGACACTATTTACCCTGAAGATGTTTTAGCTGAGCTGCGCAAGCCCCACAGCACATAAGCTATCAATAATTCTTCAGCAGAGACAGGATTCCTGTTCTTTCAGGAACCCATAAGCAACAGCAGTTCAATGCTTTAATTAACTACAGGAAGGCATGGTCAGGTAGAGCTTTAACACGATAATCGCTGCGACAAGCTCCTGTTCTCAATTCTTCACCAACAGCCTACCTCGTACCCCACACCAGACCTCCAGTGTTGTTGCTGCCCATTGTTGGTTTATCAAAATCAGTTTGTGCCACTGCCTAATGACTGGGGATGTGTTTAGAATTAGTCCAGGCAGACCACGGAATTGTTCCAGAGAATTTCTAAATATTTTAGAGACAAAACAGTTAATATTAAAAGCACGCATTTCTTGAAGCACAGCTCCCCAGATATTTATCCAGATGCGTGCTAAGTTACAGGCATGTTTATTCCTGCTCTGCCTGCGATACTGCACAGATTTCTTTGTTTACGTAGCAGAAAAGCCAGGTCAAAGGGCAGAGGCCAAGCGATTTCCCTCCTTGCCTCTCTCCATATAGCCTGGTGATGGGGGCACTCACTCCTCCGGAGATTCAGAACCCCCATGTACAAGGACACAACCCATATCTCGTAGGTGGCAAGTGCTCTTACCAATGAGTTACCTACCGCCAGGGAAGGCAGCAGCACTTACCCTTGTCTTGCCATGTCTTACAAAGAAAGGATACCTAGTAGCTCTGAAAAGGGCTTGGGATAGAAGATGCAGAGAGGAAGAGAGCCAAGGTCAGATGAGCTGCTGTGCTTTAGGTTGGCTGATAGTGGTTTCCTGAGCAGCAGATTCTTGGTAATGCTGTTCTCACGACCTAGCCCTGCCCAGGCTTTGCACAAGGAGGGCTCACTGTGAGAAACATTCATTCTCCTACAGTGAGTAGGAGCTGCAAAATTCAATCTTGGCTTAGCTCTCCTTTCTTCAGGACAGCGCTCATTACCCATAATAGGCTGCCTGGCTTGAAAAGTCACTTTAACTGAACAAGACAGTGGAAAGAGCAGATGCTGACAGCAATCAGAGACAGTATTCTCAACCTTACAGTTTCCAGTTTGTTTCTGGAGAGTTACAGTAAAAAGAGAGCAGGTGATCACACAGGTGAGGCAAGGCAGTATTTCAGCAATTCTCTAAATTCATGTGTTTTCTTGCATAAAAGTTGATTTGAGCACTAAGAAAACAGGGCATTAACTGGCATCCCTTGAACCAACATAATCTCTCAGTCACAGAAGCAAATGTATAGAATCTTAAAAATGATGGAGGATGGTGCTTCTAGTGCCATGTGTTCAACAGGCCCTGCTTAAAGCGACACTCAAACCTATTTTCTTAGGTATCCACGTGGTCTATGATCTCTCCAGAGCCCCAGGAAGCAGAGCTGTTAGCATAGAAGTGCTCTGCACAGCCTGCAGAGTCCCAGCCTACGTCCCACTGCAGATGGATGAAAAATACAATGTGACTCTTCCGTCCTATCTGCTGTTTGGTGGAGATGGTTATCACATGCTGAGAGACAACCACCTAGCATACAGCAAAGGTATGTACAGGTTCTGAGAATGTAGCAGACAAATCCTAAGAGTTAAAAGATCTTTCTGTAGGAAAAGTGTCAGATTTTTTGCTCTTATTGGATAAATTTGCTTCTAATCTGATGGCTCTGGAGTGCTAGTTTTGGTTTTAGTCAGCAACTACACTTTAATTTCAGTTAAATCACAAACATTTCAGTAAGTTCAAAAGTTTCACAAAGAAGGTGAGCCTCATCCATTTGGCTCTGTTAGGAGCACAGTTCTGGAATCATAGTAAACCACAGAAGAAGAAAAAAAAAAACAAAACAAACACAGTGGAGAGTAAGTATTGCATGCTGCTTTGCACTTCCACTAATTAGTAAACAGTGCATTTGAAGGAAAGGTGCTGTTTCCTGCAGACCTCATACTTGCACTCTGTGGAGGTATTTACAGACAGAATGATCACCTCTGCTACTCCAGGACATAGGGCTCAAGCAATCACCACCAGAGGAGGGGGCATCAGCTCACACCCCAATAGCATCATGCTTCTCATGAGCTCTGCAGCATGATGCTGTAAGGCAGCAGAACTCAGGGTGCTGACAGAAGCCATGCTACAGAGAGAAGTGTTACCCAATGCCCAGTGTATTAAGATCCTTTATCGTAGCACAAGCTGTTAGATCAGTATGCAAATGGTTGACGAAGGGATCTTTTAGGATAAAAGGAAACTTTTAAAGTATTTGAGATTGAAATTCATTATATACATTGTGATTTCAGAAATGCCCTGTATAAAAAAATTCTTCTAGGATCCTATCTATCTGCATCATACAGAATTTGCACTTGGCGCATTCTGATCCCAGAGTGATTATACTTCTGGTGATTTAGTTAAACATGTTTGTACTATCAAAAAACCACTTCCTTTCAGACCTCTTACAGACTATTTTTTGGTTCATCAGGATGTTTCAATTTAAAGTTGATTCTCACAAACAGGAGCAATATCTACAGTCAAATTCAGTCCACAGTTTATACAAGGGACTGTAGATTTTAGTAAATAACTGTTGATGCAGAAACAAATTCACAGAGAAATCCAGTAGGAGCAGTGAAAGGTGACCAGTTTGAAAGGTTCCTGCAGCATTTTCCATGGATCAATGGAGCAAAATGGAAATTACTTTGAAGAGGGATGTGTTGCATTTCAGAAGTCCAGGAGTCTGCATCAGAAAGAGCCCACTGGAAATGGTTGGCTGCAGTAACTCATGAGGATATTTGACTGTAGACAATTTTTGTGTGCAGCACAGCAATACACAGATCAGACATTCTTTTTAAAAGAAAGCCAGCTCTATAGCACTCTATCCAAAGGAGGTGGGAACTACCCAAATTTCCATTATAACAAAAGCAAACAAGAAAGCCAGCCAACGGAAAGGTTTTGTTCTCCAGTTAAATATGTTTTCACCAAAACTTTTTGCTACAAGCCATCACAAAGTGGTGTTTTTATCTCTTCATAAAATCCAACTCTCTGCCCACCCTACACTGTTCTGACCATAAGCCGCCTGAGTCAAAAGGGCCATGAATATAAAAGCCAGTCCTTAAGGCTTGTGCTAAATCTGCAGTTCTAAATTGGGTGAAGGGCTTGGCTGCTGCAGAGAATGCTCATCATTTCTGCTTGTTTATTTAGGTGAACCTGACATCGAGGTTGTTTCCCGTTATCTTGATAGAATGAAGAGAGTTTACCCAGCAGTTGAAGGTCGAATAAAGTTTTCTTCTGGGAGTCTTATCCAAGGAAGTCTTACTCTGATTTCTGCTTTGCTCACTGTAACGTTCTGGCATTGCTGATTTTTCTTCCTCAAGTGTTTACATTTGGAAGAAAGGAGGATAGAGATGGTGCTGAGGTGGGGAGAAGAGGACTGTTCTCTTTTCTCAAACCTTAAAACAAATGTTTGGGTTTCTGCATGGAGTCAATTAATAGCAAGGACTGTCTGTCTTTGATCCGTCCATTTTTGAAGTGAGTCTGGGGCAGAATTCATGGCTTTTCTCACTTTGAAAGAGCAAGCACAAACTGGCGTGACCCACCATTCAGGTTGAGGTTTCAAGAAGCAAAGTATCAATGCTCCATCGCAAAACAACCACTGACCAAAATGGGATCTTTTAAACTCGTTGATTCTTCCAGCTGCTTCATTAAGTTGATCACAAATCTGATTCCAGTAATGTAAATGAACTTCTAGAAGTAGATATATTATAAGCACGCACACTTCTCTTTGACCTCCACTCATGGTTTAAGCTTTGTATCTCAGAAATCTAGCTTACTTCCAGTTATTGTCTTACCTGCACTGATGCCTACATAAGTTGGATCAAACTCAGTGCCATTAAAAGCACTGGTCCATTTATGTGCAATTTAAAAAGTATTTTACTTTTTAAGACACAGCAGCTTACTTATGTTTTCCATTAAGAAAGCTTGATTTGATTTCGATAAATTTTGAAAAATCAAATATATAGCCTCACCAATTAATACGACTGATGTGGGGACTATAGCTAGAGTAAGAACAAAGTATCTAAGGTTATTTTCTAGGCAGATGCTCCATTGTACACTTAGGCAGGAATCCCAGCAGTTACCGGTACCAGCAGTGTTCACAGAGGACACCAGATACACACAGATGCCTGCAGTGCCAGGGTATCCTTTGGAAGTTTCCCAGTATTGGGGCTTTTTACAGCATAACTTGGCTTATCGTAGCAACAATCATAACTCAAAAGCCTCTTTCCTATACAGACAGACTGCTTTAAAAACCCAGCTGTCAGTGCCAAGTTGATGAGGATCGAGTCAGAAATAGGATAAATGTGAAGTTCCATTCAGAACTGACATCAACATACTTCCATACTGTTTACTGCTCTATTAAATGGATGTGCAGAATTTTGAATAAACCTACCCTGATTTTCTGGAAAGCAAATGACACTTTTTATCAAGAGCCAAGTTACCTCACTTCTTAAACACTCTATGCCCACAGATAAAGTGGAGGTGCATCACATTAAGGTAAACTGCAGTGTGTTTGAATTTCAAGATCTAACGACTATTCACATAAATTCAGGAGTTTTGCATGAAAAGATTTGATTACAGAGTTCTAACAATTTAACTACTGCAACAAGGAGGCAAGGAACAGCCGACTTTGGTGGCAGTGGTGACTTGTCAGTGTAACTCCTAAAGTTATTAATTTACAGAATAGTCTTCCCCAAACCAAGGTAAAACCAATAACAGAGACTGTATGTATGGACTGATCTGTACCCTTACATCAGATTTTGAGCTGTATCTGCATGGCAGGTATTTTGTTTGGTTTGTTGTGTTTGTTTGTTTAAATAAAAAAGGAAGTGAGATCAAACTCCTTTGGTGTGCCCAGAAGGAAATAACACAGCTACACCTTCTCTCAGCAAGCAGCAAGAACAGGTTTACAAAAGCAATAAAGACAGTTAATGCAAACTGTCTAGACAAAGAACATTAATACTGTATTATTTTGGATCATTTGTAAAAGCAAAAAAGTGGAATTGTCTGAAAAGCAAAAATCTCAAGAAATGTTTAAGATATTAAAATATCTCTGTGTTGTTCTGCAATTAAAACTTGTTAAAAAATCCCTGCATGTTTCCTTTGCGCAGTCTCCTTCAGGAAGGCTGAGCCAACACATACAGGTTTACTGGAAAAATCTTCCACACATTTTTGTACTAATAAATTTCTAGAAAACTTTAAGAACAGACTCATGTTGTCTTCTTTTTAACCCTGTAATCCTAATCCGTTCTTCTAAATGTCCTTTAAGGAGCACAACAATAACTGCACTTTCAGCAAAGCATATGCACTCAGCAGCCTTATTTTATATCATCCCGTACTGTTGCTCACAGAGTCTTTAGGGAAATAAATCTGGCTTTTACTGATAACAGCTAAAGAAAATAAAATAAAAATACAGATATCTGTTATTTACTTGTAAGTGGTATTAAATTTTAATTCTTTATAGCAGAAAGATTTTTAGAACTCAAATCTAATATTATTTACAAAAAAATATACAATGCAAGGCTAAAATGTCACACATCCATTACATTAATGCACAGCAGATGTTTCTACCACATGTCCAGTGAGGTCTCTGCATTCACATCCAACACGTCGCAGAGCTAGCTTCCTTTGGACCCTGTCAAGAGGAATCAAGAAAGAAACTGACGTAAGTGTGAAAATACGCATTTACATACGGACAACTGATCTACAACAGAATGAGATTTGAAAATATCTACTTGAAATCAGAGATAAGAGAAAGGAAGGCTACTGTTTCCAGGTTTTTAATACTTTCCTTGAAGTAGGCATTTTATTCTTTCTCTGGAAGTTCTCACCTCCTCCACTCTTAAATGCTAAGCATACTCCTTTATACACAGCAAATTTTGGCTCTGGAAGGGGCATTGGCATATTTTTACTATTGGATTTCTCTTCTTCCTCTGCTAGGAAAGCTTCTCCTGTCTCAGCTTTTTTGGTTCTGTTTCCTGACTGTGTGAACACTGCCCTAAATACGTCAGCTACAGAACCAATGCACAGAGGAGGTAAACTTGCCAAGCTGGTCTCATTTCAGTGGCAACAATGGAAGGTGCCCTAACTTGTCCTGAAATCTGTCATTTGTTTATTATGCAAAACAAATCATTGCTCAATTCTGTGGTGTACTCTGGTGGTTCCTGGACACAGGACTCATGCAACAAAAATCCAAATGATAAATTAAAGGCTTTTTTTTTTTTTTTTTTTTTTTCAAATGGGATGGATCACAAAGCTGATGATACACATTCTGATAGGATTCTTTCTCCTTTATCTGAGTGGTGTAAGTTAACGCTGCAGAGACCAAACTTAGAGTAAGAAATTCATCTACCAAACAGAAGTGCTGGAACTGAACCTGAGCTCTGAACCTGAGCTCTGCATGTGGAACTCACTTCTGAAAGATGGGAAATCCCTGAATTAAAATGGAGACAATCATACAGAAAGGCATGGGAATCCTGACAAACGATCACTGTCCACTGATGCTGAAAGACACCCCAAGCTCACTGCATGATAGGTAAATAGATTTACATGGATTTCCAAACCTAATTAACAGAAATTAGGAAAGCCAGATTCACATGATTTCAACACATTAGTGAAAAACAGATTATCCACCAAAAACTTAATGTATTTCAAGGGAACAACAAGTGTGCAGCAATGATGAAACCTGCCAGTAGCTTGAAGAATTTTGTACCTATTGGAATAGTGTGAGCACATACCTTACTTAGCTCTGGGAAGAGTTCTTGAATCCCAATGTCCAACAGCACATAAGTTAACTAAAACAAAACGAAGGAAATGGCATAAGCCAGCCACTAAGTTATACCAAAGCAACATCACCTCTTTTCATCTTTGTTCTGGATGAGAATTCTGCCCTCTGTCATAGCCATACATTCACTTCAGGAAATGGCAAGTTTCCCAAGTGTTGCAAAATACCTGTTTGTTGAGCACCGGTTGCTGTATGCCATCAAACAGAAGCCTGATGCCTTCGTATTTAGCCTCTTCCCCAATGCACTTGCCTATTAAATCTAGGCCAGATATCACCAACAAATACACAAGTCATTAGGAAGCATTGCAAAGTAATTGAAGTTAAATAAGTAACATCCCGAGCATTAGTTTTAGTTGGCACAAAAACAACACCATAATTCCATGAGAGCATTTTTCTTTACCTCCAGTAATAAAAAAAAGGTTTTAATTAAAGAAAGAGTTCAAATTTTATCCCTCTACAGTTGTCAATGGAAAAAACAAATATTCCTTTGGTTCCTCCTTCCTCATCTTTCAGTGCTGCACACCGAAGTATTTGTTATGCTTTTAAGAATTTCATTCTATTGTCCTAACCCTTTTTTTAATACATGACAAGTTGGAATGTTTTAATTACTTTCTTAATAACCCAGGAAATGAGCCCCTCTTCTGTAGTTTATATAGTTTCAATAGAGCTCAGATTTATCTTCTGGCTTTTTCTACTATCACTTCTTTATCTGGTCTTCAGCTGGATAAAATACAAATCAAACAAGCTAAACATGAAGAAATTATGGTTTTAAGGACATTTGTGAAGACTTCTGTTACCCCAAGTCTTCATGAATGATTACACAGCAGCCTTACTCAGCAACATTAAATTAAATGATGAAACTGAACTCTTGGGTTTTTTCTTTGTTTTTCACACCTAACTATTCCAGTCAAACCTCGGCAGCACAGAAATTATTTTATTTGGAAAGCTAACATTACTGCACTTGCGTTATACTTCCGCTTGAACAATTAACTATAGTCATAAAGAGCCATTATTAACCTGGAATGTATCTCATCATTTCTTCGAACGTCTGCTTCGCTCTCTTCTGTTTGTCCTGGACAGAGCGCGGTTCAGAATTCTCACAGAACACAGCATCTGCAGTGAAGACACATTAATGAAACCATCGTTAGGCAGCTTCCTTATCACCAGCATAAGCAAGTTGGTTTGGATTATGGTTCAAAGTTGAGCTGCTTTTCTGTATGATCTTAACTGGAAGAAAATTCTGAGCCTTGATTACATTAGCCTGATCAAATCCAGAATAACCCATGCACTTAGAGGATAAGAATCTTTTGCAGATTTGTCTCTTCTCAAATCTTGAAAGCATTAGCTTTGGCTCAATCCTTCTTTAAGTTTGTTATACCCTTCTTACTTTAAATTTTCCTTGCAATCACCTTGTAAAAATTACTGTTCATAGGAAGTATTTGCAGTTCAGTCTTGATGGTCATTTTTTTTCTTTTTTGTTTTTTTTTTTTTGTCTTTTTGTCTTTTACAGGACTTCTTGATTTGATAAGAACAGAGTTAGCCTTGGTTGCAGAGCTCTGACCACATGGTTCATTTAGCCGAGTCTCTACTGCTGTGAGGTTTTGCTTGTTTCTTTTTAAATAATCTTTGTCTACTTCCCTTCTTTGAAGGTTAAAATTACCATAATGAAGAGAATTTAAAAAAACAAAAAACTAAAGCAGGACTAAAGAAGCACATAAGTGAAAACTAATATAAAGAAAGGATGAACCATTCACAAACTGACACACTAACCTACCTTTATTCTCCTGCACACTCCTTCATAAATTAATATTCATAATACCTCTTTCTGTAAATTATGCTTGATAGACAACAGGACTAACATCATCTTTCAGCAACAAACTTCTGGAATGGTTTTATAGGCCCACCTGACTTTTAGAATTCCACTGGCTTTAGTTCAGCATTATAGTGTAATACTCAAAAGAAGAGATTTCAAATGTCATACTAAGGCAACACTTCAATCAAATATGGAACCACTGCTGACCTCTCAGCAGCGTTATCAGAGAAACCAAACGGTGCTCCTCACATAGCTGTTCTAACTTATAATGCAAGTAATAGTCCGTGTACAGTTCCAATGTATTTTTGAAGAGAATTCTTCCTCCCATCAGGAGATGATGCAGCCAGTCAGGAATGTGGAAGACCACTCTACCTGCAAAGTTATAGAAACAGATATCTATATAGTTCTCTTAATAAGATGACAAAGGAGTCAAAAGAAGAAGCCATGACTTCACTGACTCAAAAGAAAAATGCATGAAAGCAAAGACTTCAGCTTGAAGAGTGATTCTTGTTCATATTACTCATCAAATACTCTTTAACTACTTTTATTTTGTTCTATAGGCTCACCCGAGAAACTATACCCACAAACTTATACTCAGAAAGGCAGAAAGATAAAGCAAAACTGAACAATAACGAAAGATAAATTGCAATATTTTAGCACAGCAATAAGGGTTGCTTGCTGCTTTTTTTAAAATGACTGTGTTCTTAAGTTGTATACTGTTATGGTTGCATGTCCTAGGTTATGTATGACATCTACAATAGAATTTTATTTCCCACCAAAGAACCTGACCTTCATAATGAAAAGAAGTATAAGAATAACTAAGAGAAATCGCTTCTTACCAACATACATTAAGTAGTCATAGACTCCTTCTACAGTCATCATTTCCATGAAGTAGTTCTGATTTTGTCGTCTTTCTGTATTCTCAGACCGGTTTGCATTATTCTTGAATAAATCATTGAAAAGCTAAAAATAGAAACATAACATAGAAAACACTGCCTTCAAAAACAAAAGGACCATCAGGCTTTTGTTGCGTGTTTGCTTTTCATTTCACAGACCCTTTTGCTCCCAAGTACCTTCACACAACTAGACTTTGAAGGCCTTGACCTTTCAATGCACTTTCAGAGGCATGAAGAGTGCAAGTCTGTCTGCCCTAAATCACAGGGGGACATTCATGTATTTCCTAAAACATCCTTTTATCTTGTGTTATGAAATAGGCAACGGGTTCTGGACAAAACAGTCAGAAAGGAAGAGTCTGTTGAGTCCTGGAGGCCCACATCTTAAAATACCTCATAAAAACCATTAAGTGTTTATTTTAAGTTATTTCATCCCCAAAACTGTTGATGCAAAGATCAGGAAATACTACTGTATTATGAAAAGAAAGCTCAAAAGCCTGTGCCAAGCTTCTAACAAAGCTATCTCACTGTTAGAAGAAAATATAGTGCAATTATAGTATGGCCTAGATGGAAAGTCTACCCTAGTGTTCACCAAAAATTTGGTGTTGAAGAAGTTCCTTGCTATGAGACTGACAAGACTACTATCAGTAGACTTTTCCGTAGCACTCCCATATTAAAAATTAATAATGAAGAATGGTCCTTAATTTGCTTG